GGCGCGCGGTTGCCATGGTAACGGCCGGGCCGGGGGTTGCTAATTAACCCTTAAATCACCGCTAATTAGCGTCCCCCTCCCCCTCAGCAGCGCCTCATTTGCATGAAGAGCCCCCGGCGCGGCCGCTGCTTGGCCGCGGGGCTCGGGACGGCGGCACTTGGCGTTAATTAGGAGTTAATTACCGCCGGGGGGGGAAATTAGCGGTGTTGGGGGTTAATTAATGCTAATTAGGGGGGACGCGATAGGGCCGCGGCTGCTGGACATCAGCCGGTATTAAATAAGTTGTCAATATTTTGTTAATTTACAATTAGCGGTACTTAAAGGCCTAATTGGCAATAATTATGTGCTAATTAGCGTTAATTAATAGGTGGTTTGTTGGTAATTAATCACCGATAACTCAACGGGTAATTAGCAGGAATTAATGGATTTATTAATAAACGTTCGGAACTTAAGGGCAATTAATAGCGGAAATAACAGCAATTAACCACTTAATTAGCTCAAATTACGATTAATTAAGATCTAATTAATTAAGGAATTGCGGAATTAACGGTAATGAGTGTCCTAATTAACGGTAATTAACGGCGTTCACTCAGACAGTCACGAACCGTCGGGTTTCATGGTTAATTAGTGGTTTATTCAGGGTTAATGAAGGGTTAATTAGTCATTAATTAAGGGTATTAATTGGGGCCGTTCCCACAGGGGCGCTGGGCCCGGCCCTGGAGGGGCCTCAGCAGCAGGTGAGACCCGAAATACCCAAAAACTGCCCCAAAACTGCCCCAAAATAGCCCCAAAACTGCCCCAAAATAGCCCAAAACTGACCCAAAATAGCCCAAAACTGACCCAAAATACCCAAAAACTGCCCCAAAACTGCCCCAAAATAGCCCAAAACTGACCCAAAATACCCCAAAACAGCCAAAAACTGCCCCAAAATGGCCCAAAACTGACCCCAAATGACCCAAAATAGCCCAAAACTGGCCCGAAATGACCCAAAAACTGCCCCAAAATAACCCAAAACTGCCCCAAAATAGCCCAAAACTGTCCCAAAATAGCCCAAAACGACCCAAAATAACCCAAAACTGACCCAAAATAGCCCAAAACAGCCAAAAACTGCCCCCAATAGCCCAAAACTGACCCGAAATATCCCAAAATGACCCAAAATAGCCCAAAACTGACCCAAAATAGCCAAAAACTGACCCAAAATAGCCCAAACCTGACCCGAAATATCCCAAAATCACCCGAAAATGCCCCAAAATAGCCCAAAACACCCCGAAATAGCCCAAAACTGACCCAAAATGACTCAAAATACCCAAAATAGCCCAAAACTGACCCAAAATCACCCGAAAATGCCCCAAAATAGCCCAAAACACCCCGAAATAGCCCAAAACTGACCCGAAATATCCCAAAATAGCCCAAAACGGACCCAAAATGTCCCAAACTGCCCCAAAATCACCCGAAACTGCCCCAAAATATCCCAAAATACGCAGACAGCCCCAAAATATTCCAAAATGTCCCAAAATATCCCAAAATACCCCAAAATAGCCAAAAACTGCCCCAAAATAGCCCCAAATGCCCCCAAACTGCCCCAAAATGTCAAAAATTGCCCCAAAATGTCCCAAAACTGACCCAAAATATCCCAAAATAGCCCAAAACTGACCTGAAATAGCCCAAAACTGCCCCAAAATATCCAAAAATATCCCAAATCTGCCCCAAAATGACCTGAAAATGCCCCAAAATATCCCAAAATATCCCAAAACTGCCCCAAATATCCCAAAACTCACCAAAATAAACAAAAATTTCCCAAAAATCCTCCCAAATCCCGCAAAAACTGCCCAAAAAATCTCCCCAAATCCCCAAAAATTTAAAAAAACCAAAAATCCCCCAAAATCCCCCCAAAAATAAAAAAAATCCCCAAAAATCCCACAAAAATACAAAAAAATCCAAAAAAATCCAAAAAAATCCCAAAATCCCCAAAAATCCCCAAAAAATCCAAAAAAAATAAAAAAAATAAAAAAAAACCAAAATCGCCAAAATCCCCCAAAATCACCAAAAATCCTTAAAAATTCCCAAAAATTCCCAAAAATTCACCCAAAATCCCCCCAAAAATCCCCTAAAATCCCAAAAATACCCAAAAAAACCCCAAAAAAATCCCCAAAAATCCCAAAAGATTCCAAAAAAATCCCCCAAAAGCCCAAAAATCCCCCAAGAAATCCCTAAAAATCTACAAAATCCAAAAAAATCCCCCAAAATTCCCAAAATCCCCCAAAAAAATCCCCAAAAAATCCCCAAAAATCCCCCAAGAAATCAAAAAAAATTCCAAAAAATTCCAAAAAAAATCCCCCAAAATCCCAAAAATCCCCCAAGAAATCTCTAAAAATCAAAGAAATCCCCAAAAATTCCCAAAATCCCCCAAAATTCCCCAAAAATCCCAAAAATCCCCCCAAAATATCTCAAAAAATCCCAAAAAATCTCAAAAAATCCCAAAAAATCCCCAAAAATTCCCAAAATCCCCCCAAAATCTCCAAAAAATCCAAAAAAATTCCCCCAAAATCTCCAAAAATCCCCCAAAATCCCCAAAATCTCCAAAATTACCCCAAAATTACCCAAAATCCCCCCAAATTCCAAAAAAAATCCCCCCAAAATCCAAAAAAATCCCCCCAAAAATACCAAAAATTCCCCAAAATCCCCCCCAAAAAATCCCAAAAAATCCCCGAAAATCCCCAAAATCCCCAAAATCCCCAAAATCTCCAAAATTACCCCAAAATTCCCCAAAATCCCCCAAAATTCCCAAAAAAATCCCAAAAAAATCCCCCAAAATCCTCCCAAAAAAATCTCAAAAAATCCCAAAAAATCCCAAAAATCCCAAAAAATTCCCAAAAATCCCCAAAATCCCCAAAATCTCCAAAATTCCCCCAAAATTCCCCAAAATCCCCTAAAATTCCCAAAAAAATCCCAAAAAATCCACCAAAAATCCCCAAAAAATCCCCAAAAAATCCCAAAAATCCCCCCAAAAAATCTCAAAAAAATCCAAAAAAATCCCAAAAAAATCCCAAAAAATTCCCCAAATCCCCAAAATCCCCAAAATTACCCCAAAATTCCCCAAAATCCCCTAAAATTCCCCAAAAAATCCACCCAAAATAAAAAAAATGCCCCCAAAAATCCCAAAAATCCCCCCCAAAAAATCTCCAAAAAAATCCCAAAAAATCCCAAAAATCAAAAAAAATCCCAAAAATTCCGAAAATCCCCAAAATCTCAAAAAAATCCCAAAAAATTCCCCCAAAATCTCCAAAATTACCCCAAAATTCCCCAAAATCCCCCAAAATTCCCCAAAAAAATCCCAAAAATATCCCCCCAAAAAATCTCAAAAATCCCAAAAATCCCCCTAAAAAATCCCAAAAAAATCCCCCCAAAAATACCAAAAAACCCCCAAAATCCCCCAAAAAAATCTCAAAAAAATCCCAAAAAATCCCAAAAAATCCCAAAAAATTCCCCAAATCCCCAAAATCTCCAAAATTACCCCAAAATTCCCCAAAATCCCCCCAAATTCCCCAAAATATCCAAAAAAATCCACCAAAAATCCAAAAAAAATCCCCCCAAAAATCCCAAAAATTCCAAAAATCCCCCCAAAAAATCTCAAAAAAATCCCAAAAAATCCCCGAAAATCCCCAAAATCCCCAAAATCTCCAAAATTCCCCCAAAATTACCCAAAATCCCCCCAAATTCCAAAAAAAATCCCCCCAAAATCCAAAAAAATCCCCCCAAAAATACCAAAAATTCCCAACATCCCCCCAAAAAATCTCCAAAAATCCCAAAAATTCCCCGAAAATTCCCAAAATCCCCAAAATCTCCAAAATTACCCCAAAATCCCCAAAAATCCCCCAAAATTCCCCCCAAAAATCCCAAAAAATCCCAAAAATATCCCCCCAAAAAATCTCAAAAAAATCCCCAAAAATCTCAAAAAATCCCCAAAAAATTCCCAAAAATTCCCAAAAAATTCCCAAAAATTCCCCAAAAATTCCCAAAATTCCCCAAAATTCCCCAAAATCCCCCCAAATTCTCCAAAAAATCTCCCCAAAATAAAAAAAAAATCCCCCCAAAAATACCAAAAATCCCCCAAAATCCCGCAAAAAAATCTCAAAAAAATTCCCAAAAATTCCCAAAAATCCCCAAAAATTCCCAAAAATCCCCAAAATCTCCAAAATTACCCCAAAATTCCCCAAAATCCCCCAAAATTCCCCCAAAAAATCCCAAAAAATCCCAAAAAATCTCCAAAAAATCCCCCAAAATCTCAAAAAAATCCCAAAAAATCCCCAAAAATTCCCCAAAATTCCCCAAAAATTCCCAAAAATCCCCAAAAATTCCCAAAAATTCCAAAAATTCCCCAAAAATTCCCCAAATTCCCCAAATTCTCCCAACCCCCCCAGGCCGGGCCCCCCCGACCCCCACTCGGTGCTCGGGGTTCGTCCTGGAGCCTCCCCCAGGGAAATCCGGGCGGCGTTCCTGGAGCGCTGCAAGCAGGTACCGGGAAACCGGGAATACCGGGGATACCGGGGATACCGGGAATACCGGGAATACCGGGAATACCGGGAATACCGGGAATACCGGGGATACCGGGGATACCAGGGATACCGGGATACTGGGAATGGGAATGGGAAATCCGGGCGGCGTTCCTGGAGCGCTGCAAGCAGGTACCGGGAAACCGGGAATACCGGGAATACCGGGGATACCGGGAATACCGGGATACTGGGAATGGGGATGGGAAATCCGGGCGGCGTTCCTGGAGCGCTGCAAGCAGGTACCGGGAAACCGGGAATACCGGGATGGGGGATACCGGGAAACCGGGAATACCGGGAATACCGGGAATACCGGGGATACCGGGAATGGGGGACACCGGGGATACCGGGATACTGGGGGTAATGGGAATGGGGATGGGAAATCCGGGCGGCGTTCCTGGAGCGCTGCAAGCAGGTACCGGGAAACCGGGAATACCGGGATACAATACCGGGAATACCGGGAAACCGGGGATACCGGGAATACCGGGGATACCGGGAATGGGGGATGGGGATACCGGGAATACCGGGAATACCGGGGATACCGGGGATACCGGGGATACCGGGAATACCGGGAATGGGGGACACCGGGGATACCGGGATACTGGGGGTAATGGGAATGGGGATGGGAAATCCGGGCGGCGTTCCTGGAGCGCTGCAAGCAGGTACCGGGAAACCGGGAATACCGGGAATACCGGGGATACCGGGAGAACTGGGAATGGGAACTGGGAA